ATAACACTTTGTGTAACTGTCAGCAGTCCTTGCTTAGGGTGTGCCCCTTAACCTGGGGCCTCCTGGCAACTCCTTTCCCGTCCTCCCTGTAGCTCCTCCTCACAGTCCTCCCAGAGGAGATTTCGTTATTTGCCTTCGCTTCCAGTCCATTGAAAATAATTCCGATTATTTCTGGTCGATTTTAAATTTTTTTCTTAGGTGCTTTTCCCTTTAATTGTTCTGACTAATCAAAACAGATACAAATTTCTAAATATTTTCAAAGTCAGTTCTTCCCATCAAATTGACCCTGGTCCGTGGATGTTGAGGTGACTGCATTTCTCTTCACTCTTAAAACTTTGTTTCTCAGACTAGACCAAATCTAATGGATCTATATTGGATGTGACTTTAACACAAATGAGAGTTTATCACATCCTCCAAGTGGGTTTTTTAAACTTAACTCACTTCATGGTTTGAACCATTTAAAATGGTTTTTTTTTTAAAGATTTTATTTATTTATTTGACAGAGAGAGAGATCACACGTAAGCAGAGAGGCAGGCAGGGGGCGGGGTCGTGGGGGGGAAGCAGGCTCCCCGCTGAGCAGGGAGCCCCGTGTGGGCTTGATCCCAGGACCCTGAGATCATGACCTGAGCCGAAGGCAGAGGCTTAACCCATGGAGCCACCCAGGTGCCCTGGTTTGAACCATATAAATCAGATCGACTGGGTCTAAATAAGGGACATGCCTTATGAAAGTAGGCTGTCTAGTGTTCCGGACTCCCTAGCGTAGGTTTTCCTTACTACTTTCCCCAAATTACTCTGCGACTTACCAGTTCCCTGTTCCCTTGGGACATGCTTCTCCTGTTAGTGGCGGTGGGCTTCACCTCCTGCCACCCTTATCAGGAAAACACTTTCTTGGGGCCATGCCTTCCCAGAGCAGCCTTTTCCCATCTTCTGTAAATCGCCCCAACAGACTGTGGGTGTGCTTCTGGGCGCCCCTTGCTGAGGCAGGCTCGCTTGTTTTGTTTCCTTGCTTGTTTTTAGCCCGTTTCCCATCTCGGGCTGGGTGAGCACTCAGTAACCCGCTGAGCCGCTTTGCTTGCCAGGGTGCAGCTCTGGGACGAGGTAGGGAGGAGTCATCCAGAAGTGGAAGCCCGCATTCTGTACCTGCTCTTTGTCCACACGGTCGAAGTCGACCAGACCAGAGACTGACGTCAGGCACTGCCTTCATGTCCCATCCACTCCCTGCCTCTTCCTCCGCTGTTTCTATGCTCACACGCGTAGAAAATGCTCATTCTGGGGAACTTGCCCAAGTGGTCTGCCATTTTCCCAGTGGTCAACAACAGAACACAGACCTTGAATCTGGCCACCTCTAGCATGAATTGCCATTATTTCTCCTAATGCTCCAGCCGCTCCAGTTTCTCCCGGCCCTTCCGACCCAGTTGCCGTTGTTCACTCTGGCTCTTCGGTTCCGGCTGCTGGCACTTCCTCAGGTATTGGTGCTCCGGCTTCTGCTCACTCCCCGGCCTCTCGACTCAGACATGCTGGGGGAGACTGACCACCACTGCTGGATGCGGATCTGGATCTGGCGCTTCTTTTGATTGTTCTCAGAAATTATCTACACAAGGGGCTTGGTCGTCCAGCTTGGGGTCTTCTCTTTAGCTTTTGGTCTCTCTTCCTGCAAATCTAATTCTATCTTAGCTTCTTTAATGAGTTTTCTAATTGTTTTGTTCTTAATTCAATTAATTTTGAGCATTCGTGAATTGTTTGGTAGTATATCCACCACTGACCATTTTTCTCCTTGGCAGTCGTACTAATTTGTTCCATGTGTTCTAATTGCTTTAAGCTCTTGGGCTGTAAAAACAAAGTGAATCTGCCAGCCTTCTGTGACCACGGAGTAACGGCAGGAGAGGGACTACGGAAACCATCTAGTCCAACTGCCTTATTTAATATTCAGGAAATCTAAGCCACAAGGGGTTAAATGACTTGCTTGAGTCACATAGCTTGTTGGTGGCAAAATCAGAAGACCTAGAACTTGGCTCTCCTGATCTCACGTCCAGTTTCTTGACTCATTTTGGTGAGGGGTTGATTCTGTGGATTCTGCTGCGGATACTTGCAAACTCTCAAGTGAGTAGTAAAGTGCCCAGTTACGTAAGTGGGCTTTGTCCAGGAGCAGTTAACTCCCAGAGTCACTGGGACTTGAGAGCCATTTGGTTATCAGTTTGTCTGTCATTTGGTTTTTAAAGAAATGACTGGAACAAACTGCATATCCTAAAGTTCGTGCCCTAGAAAAGAGCTTCTCAAGTTCTAGTATATAATACTGAATAACTTGGGATGCTTATAGCAGAAGTAGAAAGACTCAGGCCTTCCTTGCCTAGACCTGCAGCCGGAATCGTGCAAGGTAGGGCTTGGAATGTGTGATTTCAAGTTTTTCCAGGGGTTTCTGGTGTGCTTTTTGGGTAAGGGTCACTGCTGTGGAATCTAACAGTGCTTCTTAAAAGATGAGCACCTATTTAAAAGGTGTGTTTCTGAGCTCCCTCCCTGGACCTACTTTTCTAGAATTTCAGGGAATGGGGTCCATCTTTAAGCTCCTTAGTGATTATTTACATTAAAATACAGAAAAGTCCTGATCTAGGAGGCTTTGAGTCATTAAACAGCCCAGAACAATGACTTTCAGGTCTTTTGTTCATGTTCCTTGATGAGAAATATATTTTACATCATGATTCATCAAATTCATATAACTAAAAAGTTTCAATACTTACAGAGTTCAGCAAACTCTGTTATTTTCCATTCTAATCCAACCTATTTCTTTTTTAAGAGTAGATAGTCAAAACACACCCAGTTGATTTTTAACCCCCAGCCTGTTGTCTCTCGAAACATGGAGAATTGAGATGTGTTTGTTAATTCTGTCACAGACTCAAAACTTCTCTGTTGAATTCCTCTCCTTTTCCCGATTACTTCTGTTAACATCTGCTGGGGTTGCCTGTGAGGAAAGTCTACTTTTGTTGCAGTCATGCCATATGGCCCCTCTGTGAAAAGCAGACTGCCTTGGTGCCCTTGACAGGGGAGTTCTTGCCAACTCCATGCAGCTGCTGCTAATGGCTTACATCAATCACAGCGCAAGTAATAGAAAACACAACCCTAGTTAAATAAAGTGAAAATGTTTTAAAAAGTAATTTTTTTGTTCACGGAACCAGTAGTGAAACAGTAGCTTAGTTCAGATGCTGTTTGATTCTAGACTTGGACCATATGACCTGAATTCCCCGCAAGTCTTCTGGGATGGCTTCCGCTGGAGCCAGTTCAGCTCTCTCTTCGTGGGGGCAGCAGGCCCAGCCACACACTGCGTAGTGGTGCTGAGGAGAGGGGCTCTGGAAGACTGAGCACCAATCTCCGTAGGGCTGAATGGACCACACACAGTCTACTGAACCAGTCACTGGGATGGGGACATGCATGATCTGGAGCTGGGGGTAGGGTGGAATCCCTGGCAAACCACATTGACTGAGACTGAGGGAGGGACGATTTCCTGAAGAGAATTTGAGATACTGTTCCCAGGAGCAAGAGGAATACAGGCAGCAAATGCAGATGTGGGCTACAGACCACGGATTCCCCTGGTGTCCCTCTCTGCCTCCTCTTTCCTCAGCTGTGACGAGCCTTTTCTTGCCGCTTCTCACACCTGCAGAAACCACTCTTTATTTTTTTTTTTTAAGATTTTATTTATTTATTTGAGAGAGACAGCATGAGTGGGGGGGGAGGGGGGAGGAAGCAGATGGAGAGGGAGAAGTGGATTCCCCACTAAGCAGGGAGCCTGATGTCAGGCCTAATCCCAGGATCCCGGGACCACAGCCCGAGCCAAAGGCAGACGCCCAACCGACCGAGCCACCCAGGTGTCCCAGAAACCAGTCTCTTGTCTTGAAATAGCCACTGTCAAAATAAGCTCAGGCAGCCCTCAGGGGGAATGACTAAGTAATTACAAAGAACTGATAAAAATTCACTACCGAAAAGAACTGTTTTTACATGCCTATGGAAAGGGTGAACCAAACTATGCGATTAAGTGGCCAGCGTTCACATGTGTAAGTGGCCAAGCCTGTTTTATCTTCCCTGGTGCCCTTTAAATAAACTATGGGCCTGAGGCTTTTCAGGAGGCATCTGAGCACAGTCACTGCCTAAAAATACCAACTGACCACTAATAGATTAAAAGTGATAGAAGTTAAGTACAAAACTTAAATCTGACAAACAGAACTCCGCTGACCTATCGGTTACCTTCTACAGTTGCTTTATGTACTGTGTGATACCTTCTCTTTCTCAGGCCTTCTGTCAGGAAGCAGAACAGAAAATATTTTCACTAGAGGATCAGAAAGTGGATGCTACTTACTAGTGTAAATAATGTTGATCTCCCAAAATAGATTTTTTTATGATCCAGCATGGAGCAAGAATGGCGACCTTTAAATAATTCTTTCAACAATTCTGGCTTCTAGCCTGCTTTTGAAATGGAGGAGTTTAATGTACAGAAGCATTTCATACATGGGAGACTGAATCTTAATTTTTCCTTCAATAAATAGTACCAGGTTCTGTGCTTTGTCACACATTGCTCCCAAGTTTTATAAGGTACCTGCTTTTACCTAGTACAGTGATCCTGACCTGTGTCGTATGCCCCTGCCAACTGGCCTGTGGAGCATGGAGATTTTCTCTGTACTCATGTATTCTTAGAAACTTCTTATCCAAAACATTTTTTCATGGTTTTTTTTTTCCTATAAAAACGATACCAAATGAGTGCCCTCAGGTTTGTATTGTTCTCCTAACTTGGTCTGTAATTTGGCATAAAAGCTTTAAATTCTTCCTCATAAATTTATTCTTTTTTCTAACAATATGCCCATTCATTTCTAATTTTCTAATTTCAATCCTTTGAAAGCTCAGCATTTTAATTGCTTATGGAAACTAATCAGTCTCCTGTACTTGACAGTGATTTCAGTAAGATCTGATTTTTTAAATGAAGTTTTTCATCTATGTTGTTATATTTTGGTCTGTAGTGTGGCTTGACCTAAGAACCCAGTCTACCGTTGAGAATCTTAGTAAAAGAATTCCAGGAAATAATAACTTTGTCAAGGTAAGAGATCTCTTCAAAAGTATACTATAAGAATGCTTATTCTTAAAAAAGATTTAGAGATTTCACCTGAAAGACTAATTGGGCCTTACATCCTGTTGCACACTAGTTATTTGATATGTTACACTATTCTCTGCAGACAGTTAAGGACAACGCAAGTATTTACCTTTCTGTCTTCTTGCCCTGTGGTGGATTAGAGGATTCGTATTCGGAGGTTGATAGTCTGGAGGGGATTATAAAGTGTCCCAGTGGCTTAAACTATACTCCCTCTTGTTTTCTAGAAAATTCTGGATGCTTTTGAGTTTTTAGGCATCAGGATTCAGGGAGAGAAAAGTCACTCCAACTCCTCACAGAACTCCTTCCAGTTTTTTCATATGAAGGAGGCTGCTAGAAAGTGCATAAATTTCAGTCCATATGTAGAGCTCTCGAATTAAGGGAGAGAGAATTTTTGAAACAGGCAAGGTATTTTTCTTATGAAGGTCAAGGCCCACTTCTCCTACCATCCAAAAGAAGTTCTGGTTTTTTGGCATATCCCCTTCATATTTGTCAGTTGGACTCTTAAAACAGTGGTTCTTGGTTCTGAAACTAGGGTTCAAATCCCATTAATTGTAGCAATTTAACAAATCATTCCCTACCCTCACCCCCTGAATAACTATCAAGCTAGTCCTAAATATACCCCTACCCATTTCCTATTCTCTTCTTCATTGTCACCCTGCTCAACCCTCACCCCTGCTCCAGCTGCACTTTGCTGCAAGTGATGCATGTTTTTCTCTTCAGTGCTTTTTTTTTCAATTTTTAAATTATTTTTATTAACAAATAATGTATTATTTGCCCAAGGGGTACAGGTCTGTGAATTGTCAGGTTTACACACTACACAGCACTCACCATATCACAAACCCTCCCCAAAGTCCATAACCCAACCACCCTCTCCACCCCACCCCCCACTTCAGTACCATTTTAGGCAACTTTTAAACTTGCTGCCTAAATCATTAAAACGAGATATTATCAACTACCTCACTGTTGATTTTGTGGGATGACCCTTGGTCCTTCAAATCAAAGAGGAATAATCTCATAACTTATTTCCTCTCCTCACTTTTGAGTACCGTTCTTACTTTTTTTCTAGGAAAGTTAGAAAACATGAGTTAAGAGTCATAACTTAGAGGATGCATTGGAGTATTGGTCTGGTCTGAATTTTCTTACCAAACATACCCATAGCAGATAAGAAGGAAAAAGGTATCACTTACTGTAATTAGGGGATAAATCAGGAAACTTAAGGATTGGGGGAGGGGAAAGATAGTTGCATTATTTTGATGTATGTATCTTCCTAACCACTTTCATCAGCTCTTATAAATATATTTGGTATTTAATGTACTAACAAAAACAAGAGTTGGATCTGATCTGTTCTCGAGGAAGACTGATAAGCCTATATGTATTTTATACTTAGCATTTATCCTTTATTCAGTACACCCTCCCTTTGTTTAATGTACTTGGCTGAGTTTTTAGACAACTACTTTAATACAGAGCAACTCAGTGTTGCTTTCTTCTGGCATGTCCTTGAGCTCTACTTTATTCTCCACTTACGTTATTTGAATATGTGTGTTTGTGTATATATTTATATTTTTTACACATACAAGTGTATTATATGTGTTTTAAAACCTAAAATTTTCTGGTTACCATTTAATATACTCTGATTTTTAATAGTTTAAATTTTCACTTTCATGAAATATAAAATGAAAAGGCAGAATTTCAGACTAGGTTCTGTACGTAATAACACAAAAGCTGACATCTACTTGCTCACCATCTAGATTATAGGGTGTTGTGTCATTTAATTTTCTCTTTACCTTGCAGTGTGGATGCTCTTTGAACTGCAAACATACCACGCTGATCTTTGTTCTTGAACATGCTTTTCTGTGCCATGAGATAGGAAAATTATTTTTATCCATATTACCATGGGACTGACTTTAGGGCCATTGAATATTTTGTGATTTGTTGAGGTTTTTGGTTTGGTGTTTTATTTCAATTCGCTGGCTGAATTTCATGACTGTGTTTAGTCCAAGACAGGCCTTCCACTTAGCACTTACTTCAGTGCGGTGAAACTTCGTTGGCTCCTTGACAATGTGAGAAAAGTTCAAAGGGCTGTTGAAGAAGATAGAGCTCTTTTTGGGACCATTGATTCATGGCTTATTTGGGTACGTTTAATTATAATGTTATGTATGGAGAAAGTTTTTGAGAATTTTTTTAGATGGTCTTGTCTTCTATTTTCTACTAAGAGTTCAAACTTTTTATTTTTTTTTATTTTTATTTTTTAAAGATTTTTAAAGTAGACAGAGAGGCAGGCAGAGAGAGAGAGAGAGAGAGAGAAGCAGGCTCCCCGCTGAGCAGAGAGCCCGATGTGGGACTCGATCCCAGGACCCTGAGATCATGACCTGAGCCGAAGGCAGCGGCTCAACCCACTGAGCCACCCAGGCGCCCCGAGTTCAAACTTTTTAAAAAAGATTTTATTTCTTTGAGAGAGAGAGTGAGCGTGTGTGTGTGTGTGTGTGTGCATGAGCTGGGAGAGGGGCAGAGGGCAAGGGAAAGAGAATATTAAGCAGGCTCCATGCCCAGCTTGGAGCTGATGTGCGTTCTCATGACCCTGAGATCATGACCTGAGCCAAAATCAAAATTTGTCACTCAACCAACTGAGCCACCAGGCACCTTGAGTTGAACTTGTTAGCTGGCAAAATTATTAAGAAAAGCCACTTGAGAGACAGCAGAACATTTCAGCCTCCGTTTAGGAGGCATTTTTGCAAAAAGAAAGAAGAATAGAGTTGTAGGGGGCTGAGGGAAGGGGGGAATGATTACTAATAGATACAGAGTATACCTTTGTGGTGCTGGAAATATCTTGGAACTAGATAGAGGGGTGGGTGCACAACATCATGAATGTGCTAAATGCCACTGAGTTGTCTGCTTTGAACTGATTAATGGTTAATCTAATGTGAATTTTTCCTCAAAAATTTTTAAATAGATGCTTTAGAATAAAAGGTATTTTTGCCTACGTCTTCCTTAGTTTTCTTGCTTTACTGCCATAAAAATGGAGGGTGATTACCAAAACCACATCTCATATTTATTATCTTTAGAAAAGGTAATTTAGGTAATTAATTAGTAATTCATAATTTAGGTAGTCTTTTTCTTCTTGCCTATCATGTGCTCTTTTCCAGTGGTCATTTCTTTTCTTTTCTTTTTTAAAGATTTTATTTATTTATTTGACAGACAAGAGATCACAAGTAGGCAGAGAGGCAGGCAGAGAGAGAGGAGGAAGCAGGCTCCCCGCTGAGCAGAGAGCCCGATGTGGGGCTCCATCCCAGGACCATGGGATCATGACCTTAGCCAAGGAAGAGGCTTTAACCCACTGAGCCACCCAGGTGCCCTCCAGGGGTCATTTTTTTTTTTTTTTAAGATTTTTTTTTTTTTTATTTGTCAGAGAGAGAGGGAGAGAGAGCAAGCGCAGGCAGACAGAATGGCAGGCAGAGACAGAGGGAGAGAGAGCAAGCACAGGCAGACAGGATGGCAGGCAGAGACAGAGGGAGAGAGAGCAAGCACAGGCAGACAGAATGGCAGGCAGAGACAGAGGGAGAAGCAGGCTCCCCGCCAAGCAAGGAGCCTGATGTGGGACTCGATCCCAGGACGCTGGGATCATGACCTGAGCCGAAGGCAGCTGCTTAACCAACTGAGCCACCCAGGTGTCCCCCCAGTGGTCATTTTTTAAAGGAAGTAACTATTTAACATAATAGAACACCTGTGTGACTATCATCGGCTTTCAGCATTACGCAGCTGTCTCTTATTAAGCCATGATATGAAAAAATCATAATGGAATTTTGAAGTATAATCTTTTTGCCTAAGCTGAACACAGATGAGTAGAAACTTACATTTTAGACATTTCTGAGTTATCTCAAAAGTACATGTTCTCTCTTCCCCTTTCTCTTTGTTTGTTCTTTTGTTATTTTTACTATGGGCATTTTCAGCTATACCCAAGAGAGGGAATAGTGTAATGGACCTGTGCAACAGTGTACCAGCTACGGCAATCAACTATGGCCAGTCTTGTTTCAGCTACACTCACACACTCTTCTCCCCACAGATAAGTGTAAAGCAAATCCCCACACATACCATTTCATTTGTAATTACTTTAGTAAGTATGTGATTATCTTTTCAACATTCAGGAGAGCTTCAGAGGAATATTGTCCCCGTTCTCACTTGCCAGATCCACAGAGCAGATCTTCCAGAACCAGCACTAGGAAGAAGTGCATTCCCCAGCCTTCCCTGTGCTTGGCCAGGCCACGCCGGGGTTGGTGCTCTCTTGGCCCGCAGTTTTCATACCTGTCACATTGAAATACTTCTCACAGTAGTTCTGACAGTCAGTTGTTTGAAACCAGAGTAAGGCAGGGTGGGGCCCCTGTGAGCTGAGGGAGGGAGCTCAGTTAGCTGCCGGTTGGGGGCGTAGGTGCTGAGATGCCTTATCTTTTTTTTTCTTTCTTTTTTTTTTTTTTTCCTGAGATTCCTTTTCTGCTCTGTTGTTCCTTTCTTACCTCTTACTGCTCCCACACAAAAGAAAGCAGCAGTGCTGGGGGGTATTAACACAGGAGATTTTAAAACTGCTTTCAGGATATATACTTAGGTAGGCACAACCCAGTGAGAATTGTTATTCCAAAAAACTAAGTCACAAACAGGAACAGCAGCACAGAGTTCTATAAGATCCTGAAGAGGCAGACATGCTGATATATTTCATTTTGCCAAATGTGGTAAGACTAACTTTTCCAAAGATAACAGATGAAAACAAAACTGATGTTTTTTCGGTTTAGCTAACAATTTACTAGAACGCTGTTGTCTAATATGGTAGCCACTTAAGCACGTGTGGCTACTGAACACTTCAAATATGGGAAAGCACTGCTTCCTAGCCATATCAAATATTAAATATCAAATAATCGATATGTTCAGTGAGTGTAAAATATATACTATGCTTAAGTAGGTGAAATGTTGGGGCGCCTGGCTGGCTCAGTAGAACATGCCACTCTTGATCTAGGGGTTGTGAGTTCAAGCCCCATGTTGGATGTAGAGATTAATTAAAATAATAAAATAAAATAAAATAAGGGTGCCTGGGTAGTTCAGATGGTTAAGCGTCTACCTTCAGCTCAGGTCCTGATCCTGGGGTTCTGGGATCGAGCCCCACATCTGGCTTCCTGCTCGGCGGGAAGCCTACTTTCCCTCTCCCACTCCCACTGCCCGTGTTACTGTCCCTGCTGTCTGTCTCTCTCTGTCACATAAATAAATAAGATCTTTTAAAAAATAATAAAATAAATAAATACATAGGTAAGTTGTCTCAGTAATAATTTTTCATATTAAAAGGATGTTTTGGGGGGTACCTGGTCTCCTCAGCCATTGGAGCATACAACTATTGATTTCAGGGTTGTAATTTCATATTGGTTGTAAATTCGTATTTTCAAGTACTCTCTGCCCCATATTGAGTAATTTGAAAAAACTTTTAAAAATAAAATCTTAAGTAAATAAAAGGGTACTTTGGCTATATTGAGCTAAATAAAATATATGGTATTATTAAAATTAATTTTACCTTTATATTTTTAAATATAGCTATTAGAAAATTTAAAATTATGTATGTAGCTAGCATTGTATTTCTATTGGACACTGCTGAAAACTAGAAAATTAAATGATATATTCCATTCTCCTGCTTCATGCACTCTGCTACTGATTATGGCCCTTGACAGCGTGTAAATTAAATTGCAAATTAGGGGGTGCCTCAGTTGGTTGAGCATCTGACTTTTGATATTGGGTCAGGTCACAATCCCAGGGTCCTGATTTGGAGCTCTGCATTGGACTCTGTGCTCAGCAGGCAGTCTGCTTGAGGATTCTCTCCCTCTCCCTCTGCCCCTCTTCCTGCTCACATGCCCTCTCTCTCTCTCTCAACTAAATCTAAATATTTTTAAATCTTTTTAAAAAATAAAAATAAATAAATAGCAAATTAGTACAAATCTAACCTGTCCTTTTATTCTGTCTAGAGTTTGACAGGAGGGGCCAATGGAGGTGTCCACTGTACGGATGTAACAAATGCAAGTAGGACAATGCTTTTCAACATTCACTCTCTGGAATGGGATAAAGAGCTCTGCGAGTGAGTTGTGTTTTGCCCTAAAAAGCATTTCCCATTACTATTTATAACCTAAATCTTACTATTTTCTTATGTTGGTGGAGCAGCAAACTTTGTCGATATGTCAACTACAAATATATAAGTCTATACTGTGTATTAAAAAAAGAGACTATTGATGAATATATAGCAAACAGGCCAAATTAATTGTCTGGATTAGGAAGTTAGGTTTCTTTAGAAAAGTCTTTTGTAAGAAAAAAAAAAGTACTTTGTTTTCTGCGTGCTTCTTATTTTTTATCGGCTTGTATAAAGATAGAATGATAAATACCCAAACATACATCTATGTTCTGCTGGCTTATTATTTAACTCCATGCTCAAATATGTCCATTTTTAATAGCTATTTACATTTTTATCTTTAAAAACTTATAAATATTTCTAGATATTTATTTAAAATAGTGTTATATAACCAGTCTTATCTTACTGTTTTTCAGATTTTTTGAAATTCCGATGAAGATTCTTCCAAATGTCCGGAGTTCTTCTGAGATCTATGGCCTAATGGTAACAACAACAACAAAAAATTAATTTCATTTAAAAAAAAAAGCTTTACTATTCAGAATTCAAGTCAGTTGTGTGACATTTTCTAGTTTGAGAGTTGTGACTTTTCTGTAAGTGTGGTAGGATATAATTTAAGAATTTAGTGCTGCTTAAATAGTTCTATAACTTAAAAATTTTAGAATCCTTTTTACCAATTGGTTTTATATTTCATAAACTTTAATTGGCCGTTCTTTAAGTATTCTACTTTCAAAGTATTAATGGAATAATTAACTACAGAGGGTGGCATGGGAATGTTTGAGCCTGTTTATTCTTTTAGTTGAAATAACTTTAGTAGTTTGTGCTTACAATTTAGAGGAAGGACTCTTCACATTTTAGTGTTCTTTCTCCTGTTGTATGTCTTTTCATGGCCAGACCACGTTTTTATATTAGATTTTTTGTCAGCCTGAGCAAAACTTTAGCAAAGAAACTGAAAACAAAGAGTCTGTTTCTGATTTATGATTGCTAATTAAACTGGTTTCCATAAGGGACATTTTACTGTTGCCTTCACTAAAACTGGGAGAAAAAGTACTTTCAGCAAAAAGTGTGCTTAGCATCATTGAGTATCTCTGATTACACGTCAGGGATGAAAACCTCCAGGAGGATTTGAACTGGTATTTGAGCACAAAAATCTAGAATTTACGATAAAATTTAAAAATATGTCTAAGGTCAGTTACCAGAAAAATACATTGTTTAGACATTTCATGACAGATAATAGAAACTGTACTTATAGAGTTAATAATAATAGAGTTGATTACTAAGTGCTCTGGATAAAGCTTGAGCAGAGTTCGTAAATATTTCATTTATAAAAAAGCCTTGTAAAGCATCATGGAAGTTTCTAAGAGAAGCATGGCTCAACTGCAGTAAAAGTGCTTAGATGACTTCATAGCTGTCTACAGACTGCGTGGGGTCAGAGAAAAAAACTTATCCTTGAGAAACAGTTTTAGAGAATGGTTGGAAAAGCATTTACTGGCCTAATCTTTTTCTTGCATTTAAAATATTGTGCTTCTGTCCTCCTTTTTCCCCCTTGCTGACTATAGAAAATCTCTCATAGCCTGGTGAGTAGGTTGCCCACGAATTATGCTACCCATTCATTTGGAAAAGATAACAGTGCATTTCCGTTTAGTTTTAGACAAGAAGAAGTCCATTTACTACTAAGCAGATTTATCTAGAATCTCCATGACCCTCCAAATTGCTATAAGCTCTAGCAAGCTCTAGGTTTTCTTTAAACTCAGTCATGTCTATTTGTTTTTAAGTTTTCCATAACACTGAAAGTGGTGTTTCAAAGTAAAAGACTAAGCTAGTTTCTTGGAATGAGAAATTCTGATATTCCCCATGACAAAGTACAGTTGTGATGTGCTTTGGGCTTTGGCGTTAACAGGGAAATTAGATGTGGCTTTTAAATGTCCTAAATGCCTATTGTAAGTGATACTTGACCAGCCTTTCAGACTAGTTAGTTGGAAATGCACTGTCACTTTTTCTGCATGCTTCACCAGAGGATGTTCCCAGGAATCCTCCAGAAACTGCCCCCCTCCCTGTGAAGGAAAAGGAGCGCTTTATGTGCTGGAATGCACATGAGTAGATCCCGCTGGTAGTTTGATAATACCTCCATAGTGTCAGCAAACCCTTCTCGTATTTAAAATATATGAAGATAGACAGCCTCTCAGCTTCCTATGGGTTCACTTTCAGTTCCGTATGAAGTGTGCCCTTCGCTTATTATCCAGGTTCAGGTTTCCTAAGAGTATATCCAGTAAATAAAAAAGAGAGGTCTTGAATTAACAGAAGGCATGAAAGAAATAAAATAATATCCACCATCTAGAAGATGTTTTCTATTTTGTACAGGGTTTCCACATATATGCTATTGCTTCCTTATTGTAGCTATGTGAGGCAGCTTCTGTTCTGGATAGGAAATCTGAAGCTCCTAGAGGCTCACCAGTGGGAGACCAAGGGGGCAGTCCATAGAAAGCTTTTTTTTGGCCTTGTTCCTAGTACATCACACTACTTCGTGGATCACGTTCCTTCCCCCTAATTCCTTAATACCAGTAGAAATTCCTTTGTATTAGAATTTTTTAAAAAAATGAAGTTTGGTAAAATACACAGCCACTTAAAAAATCTCATTTTTCTCCCTGGAATGCTAGCCATATTTGATCTAAATAAAAACCACTATGTATGACCTAAATTAACTCTTGCTTATCTAAATTTGAAGAATGATGTCGGCTATGAACAAATAATACCCAAGACCCAAATGCTCTTGGGTTTCTTACTTCTCTTAAAAGCAGTTTGGTTAAGGAAGGATACATGGTAAAATAAAACCTTCCAAAATGAGGCTGTTCCATGCCAGTTTGATAGCTATTCATATGTTTGTTTTAAAGGAGGTGTTAGTTTTCCTTATTAATGGCAATGATAACAAAGAGCTATCAGACCTAGGCATTCATGTTATCTAGACTCCATTTTATATATCAAGAAACTGAAGCATAGAGAGGTTTCAGCAGCCTGCTCAGGGACTTAACACTAACTAACCAAGAGTAGACCCCTTGTCTTCTGATTCCCAGCCCAGTGTTTGATGTCCATTCACCAATACCATGTGTTGTCTTGTCATTCTAGAAATATGTCTCGTATCTGTCATTGAACCAAATATGTAGTTGAAACACTTGCTTTGTCTTGTCTGCCCACATGCTCTGGCATGTTGCTGTTTGTGTTCATTCCTGTTGCAGTTGTGTTAGTAGAGATAATAGTTTGTGATTACTCATAATCCTTTTTTAAAATTTTATTAGAAAGCTGGGGCCTTGGAAGGTGTGCCAATATCTGGGGTAAGTTTCCTCTCCCTGCTACTTCCCCAACCCTACCTGCTTCCATGTGAGGGGGTTTCTTCCTCTATCTTAATCAATCTACCCCTTCTGAAACTATGGAAAAAAGGTGAAAGCAGCAGAATTGGCTGATTCTTGTTCTTAGGTGCCACAGTGTGGGCCACTGAGAACATTTTGACCAAATTCTAACTCTACCTTCCCATACCTAATATCTTGTAGGGGATATTAGGAAATGGGGAAATGGCCAAATGGAATCAATGCAGAAATCAAGACAGTTCATTCCTTGATAAAAGAAGGAAAGGAAAAATAAATCCTATGGCTGTTCTAAAGGGGAAAGTAATGATACTGTCTTAGTGTTCTTTATTGCCATTTATGCTTTCAGTGTTTGGGGGACCAGTCTGCTGCATTGGTGGGACAAATGTGCTTCCAGGATGGTCAAGCCAAAAATACGTGAGTTGAAGAAACAGACCCAAGAACCAGTAGTGTTTTGTTTGTTTGTTTATCCCTTTGGTCCTTTGAATGAGGAAAACCTGTTGAAGTTCATCCAGGCTAAAAATCAATAGCTTAGGGGTTCCAATAAGTTTTTTTGCCATTTAGTTTTCCTTCTCTTCTTCAAATAAAATACATTATGCCATATGTCAACACACTGCTGAGGCTTGAAAAGATCTTAATTCAATACATTTTTCCATCCAGAAACTAAATTTTGGTTTAAAGCGTTAATGGTTTTGGTGGGGTGGGGATGGGGAGTGGAGGAGGGCAGAGCAGAGGGGAGGAAGAGCCATGATTTAAACTATGTTTCAGGGGCGCCTGGCTGGCTCAGTCTGTACAACATGTGACTCATAATCTCAGGGTCGTGAGTTCAAGCCCCAGGTTGGGTGTAGAGAATACTTTAATAAATGTTTGGGGCACCTAGGTGGCTCCGGTGGTTAAGCGTCTGTCTTCAGCTCAAGTCGTGATCCCAGGGTCCTGGAATCGAGCCCCACATCAGGCTCCCTGCTCAGTGTGGGGAGGCGGGGGATGGTCTTTTCTCCCCCTGCCTCTGGCCCTCAAGCCCCACCGCTCTTGCCCAGCTCATGCTCTCTCTTGGTGGCTATCTCTCTCTCTCTCAAATAAATAACATCTTTAATTTTTTTTTTAATTTAAAGAAAAAATTTCAAAATGAACTATATTTCTCCACATATACTATTCCTGCCCTAGTCTTTCTCACTAAATTGTAAAGGTATATTTTTGTGGGATTTTCCATGCTGTTTTCCTGGCATTGTGCTTTCTCCTCATTACCTAGAGTTTTTCCTTCTACAAGAAGTAGAAGGAGGGGCATCTGGGTGGCTCAGTGGGTTAAGGCCTCTGCCTTTGGCTCAGGTCATGATCCCAGAGTCCTGGAATCGAGCCCCACATCGGGCTCTCTGCTCAGCAGGGAGCCTGCTTCATCCTCCCTTTCTGCCTGCCTCTCTGCCTACTTGTGATCTCTGTCAAATAAATAAATAAAATCTTTAAAAAAAAAAAGAAGTAGAAGGAATGATGGAAGTAGAGGTTTGGTGAATTTGTTTCCTAATCTTGTCTCCTTACTACTCCCTCATCGGGAATCTGTAACAAGCCCCATATCTAAGAGATAAGATTTCTTGATTTTTCAGATAAGAAAACCTGTTCAGAGTAGTTAAGCTGATCAGTGAAATAAGTGGTCTTTGCCCCCAGATCCATCTGATTCCACTTAGCTGGGGCTCTGAACCTCTCGTGTTAACTGTACTCTGTGTAGGAGAGACACACATTGACCCAGCAGGAGACTATCTACATTTATTTTTTTTCTAGAGGATTTCCTAATTATGTCATCAATGTTAACAGCAGCGGTTAAATTCTTCTTTTGTGAATAATGGAATGTCTAACCTTTTTAGTGAATTGCTCTTGTGGTCCGGCGTGCTCAGCCGTCCTCATGTGACAGTGTGACATCATCCATGTGAGGTTTGGTGGGGGAGGAGGGGAGATAGGTAAAGTCTTGCAGATCAAGGTATCCTGAGGTTATGACTAAGAGAGCTTGAACAAGCGTGAGCGTAGGTTTGGGAACATCCTCTTTCTTCTGGCTTCTAGGCAGCTGCACCAGGAGTCAACAAACATACTGGAAAACTAGGCTCTTTCCCCTCCGCCCTTTTTCCTTTGCCAGGCACGCTAGTGCTAGTAAATCAGAGGGTCTCTCTCCTCTGTCAAGTACCTAGCATGGTGTAGAGCACATGGGACGTTCCCTATAAAATTGTTGGCTTTTCCTCCTCTTTTGACTCCCTTCCTGCGGAAGTGTTATCACACAAGTCCTGAAGGGTTAGTCTAAGCCAGGGAGGGTTTATGGAGTACCTGCACAGCCACTGTGCATTGTATTTTTTGGAGTCTGAGTAGAGACCAGATGGGAGTTGTAAAATGAAAGAGAGAGAAGCGATGGTCAAAATGAAGTCCAAAGAGGTTGCAGAGGGTGGGGCTGAGAATTGACTCAGTCTCTTCAAACCTCAGCCGGGAGCATAGGACAGGTAGGTCAGAATTCACTGGAAAGCCCATCTCTGTTTTATTGTGGAGGAACGGATTATGGGTGATTCTCATTTTTCTTTCTGCTTTTCTGTATTTTCTGATTTTTCTTGAATGAATGTGGATTATTTGAACATTTAATTTTGCTTTTAAGGACAAGAACCTAAGATAGATGACCTCTCTCCCCAGAGGCATTAAGTATTCTATTAGCAATAATCGCGCCTCGGATAAACCTCATTGGCTACGATACTGCCACTGCGCAAAGCTGGCATTAAGTATTCTAAAGGAAGCCTTGACCCTCATGGCTTTGGCTGGGGCCATTCACCCTCTTCCTGTGGGCAAGCTGTGGCTCGTTCCTCCATAAGGGATAGTGGGCAGCCTTCACCATCACAGAGGTTAGAAAAGTCAGACATCTTTCTGGGATGCTCAAATAGAGTACCGTCTTGAGAGAGGATAGGCAGCCCATATAAATGCTGAAAGCTCCATGTATGTTTGATGTCTGGGAAGAAAAAGTCATAAAATTTCAGAGGAAAATAATTGCCTGTGGACTGCTTTGCAGATTGTGGCCTATAGGTAGCAAGAGTCTCTTCATACATTGATAATGCTCATTAATTACATGTGAAGTATACTCACTTAAGAATTCACTTTTATTAAATGCCTTGAGCCTCTGTGTCAGTTTGGTACTTTCAGACTTATATACTGTTGTTCGGTGTGCAGGGTGTTAATATGGGGGCTAAATTGGTACAGATTTCTCCTTTAAAAATGTGAGATAGGTAATTAACTTTTTAAGGCATGAAACCGATAATCATTTTTAAGAATATTTATTAAAGGAGATTAACTTAACATTCATAGCTTTTCCAGCATTGTGGAAATAAAAGAGTATTGTGATTTGTGTGTTTTCCTTCATAAATATATTATTACCCATACATAATCTTAGTTGACTGGTGTCTTTAAAAATGTAGATACTTGTTAATCACATGCTCCCTGAATGTGTTGGCTGTTTGTCTACAGGCAAAGAATATATTTGAGTGAAAAGAGGTAGACCATCTTGGGTTACTTCTTATTCACAACAGTGGTGCCTGGAAGAATGTTTGCTAGAAAAAAAAATTGCCCTTCGTTTCTATTTGCTTCACACCCACATGATGGGGCCTGCTGACTTAGTGCTTACTAGTGGTGGCTTTTGCTGTGATCCTTCTGCCTGGCCCTGAACTGAGCGCTCCTTGATCTCCCACCTGCTGGAATATCAAATTGCACAGCAGCAAGGCTCATGGGGAGGGATCCCAAGCCTTGGCAGAATGGTTTGTAGAGCTCCAAGGGTGACAGTCACAGCCAGCTCCATGGAAAACTGTTTCCCTGTGACCCTTACTGGTATCACTTTGGATTACTTCTCTGATTGGCACACGTCAAAACTACTCACTCATGTCCAAATGCCAGACTTGTTGCAGAGTCCAAAGCTTATACTTATATGGCTGCCATAAAATAAATTCACTTCTTCCATGGCGGCCATGTTCCATTCTCGCTCTGACCCTGCCACCTATTAGAATGGCCTACCCTGCAAAGAGAATGGGAAAGTGAGGCCTTTAGTGGCTTTCCTCTCTATGCCACTCTGGCTGAGGTCCATCTCCACTTTCCCGCATTCTGGTCCTAGCCTCCCCCTCCCCTCCAGGGCAGAAGATAGCAGAAGATAGCAGTTCATGACTGTACTAATCACAGAGCTAAGCAGCCAGCCCCATGGGTGAAATGCTTCATTCCACATGGGTTAGAAGCAATGTCACTGGGACTGGGATGTAGACTTTGTTGTCATTTGGTGATATTTTATACACATAGCCCTGGATTGTGACTAGGCACTAAATACTATGCTTGCATTTTTCCATTAGGATTGCACTAAGTACATTTTCTTCTAGACTTAGTCTTTAAAACGTTATTCCAAAAGGAATATGTAATGCTTGCAAACTTTTGGAAATTGTCTAAAACTTTAAGATAATGACTTACTGTATGTCAGTTTAAATGATTTGTATTATTGATGTTTCATGATTTATTTTTAATAACCTTGTCACACTGTTCCTTCTTCCCCCAACTATAGGTATGGAACAGGCTGTTTCTTACTATGTAATACAGGCCGCAAGGTTGGTTTTGAAAGTCTTCTCTAACTTCATATAAATAATGCTTGAGTATAATTTGCTATTAAGTTACTTATTCTGCAGATTTTATTTAATCTTTATTAGGGTTTAATTTAGAGCTCAAAAATGATGAAAATTGCTAAATTTAAGTGGCTCTAGTAAGAACTATTTTAGGTTCTTTGAAATTTTTATGTGTGTTTTTGATTGTTGGTGGGATATCTATACTAAGGCTATGTCAGATTCTTAATGCAAATCTAATTTGGAACAAGGAATAAACATTTTGTACTATTTAAATGTGTTGTTCTTAATACTGGTAATTTTGACTCTTTTAAATTGTTACATATTTATTGAATTATTTTTGTACTTAGGTCATCTTAGCTTTAAATAATACTATTCTGCTATCTTTTTATTTTCCTGGCTACTGAAATATTTTTCTCTTTATCCTACAGTGTGTGTTTTCTGAGCATGGCCTTCTGACCACAGTGGCTTATAAGCTTGGCAGAGACAAACCAGTGTATTACGCCTTGGAAGTACGTAGTTTTCGATCAATATGGGTAGTATGGCAAACATTCAAAGCCAGTGAAAATCATGATGCTTTCTAACACCTTTTCTGGTTAATCTTAATATATGGGACTAAAAAAATTCAGTTTTTTTTTCTTGGCATTTGGTTGAGTGGAAGGAACCTGAAATTGAGCTGGGGACAGGACTCTCAGGAGATCTTGAGTATATGGGCTCCTTGGTTCTTTTACCAGTCCCTTGTGGCACCTTGTAGCTGCTTGACTTGCTCTCCAAGTATTTCTGTTAGCTGGAAAATTCTGTGTTTTATAACTACAGTGCCCCAGTGTTCCAAAGAGAACCACTGGGTGCAAAACCAGAGGAACTCTCTTCACGTGTCTCCCTATAAAAATAGGTTTTGTGGGGCGCCTGGGTGGCTCAGTGGGTTAAGGCCTTTGCCTTCAGCTCAGGTCATGTCCCAGGGTCCTGGGATCGAGCCCCGCATCGGGCTCTCTTCAGTGGGGAGCCTGCTTCCCCCTCTCTCTCTGCCTGCCTCTCTGCCTACTCGTGATCTCCGTCTGTCAAATAAATAAATTAAAAAAAAATCTTAAAAAAAAAAAGTAAAAATAGGTTTTGTGTCCAATTTTGATTGGAGAAGAAAGTGAGGAGATTTATGCCATGTTTCAGTAGAAGTATTTGTTTCAAACACGTTTGTAAATTCTAGTAGGAATAGATCAGTCTAAGTCTGTAGGAAATGTTGAATTTATATTAGAGCCATTACTTCTATTGGTAAGGTGAAAGAAGCAGTATTCTTTTTATCAAATCACATATATATTCTTTTTTTAAGATTTTATTTTTAAGTAATCTCTATACCCAGTGTGGGGCTCAAACTCACCCCCAAGTCACATGCTCTATTGACCGAGCCAGCCAGGCACACCCCACAGTCTTTGGTTGTTGTTGCTGAATATAGTGGACACACGATGTTACATTAGATTCAGGCGTACAGCTTAGTGATTTAGCAAGCTTATGCATTTGTGCTCCCCACAGCTATAGCTCCCATGTGTCCCATACGACGCTATTACAGTATCATTACCTGCATTCCTTATGCTGTGCCTCTTATTCCTGTGACTTACTGATTCCATAACTGGAAGCCTGTGTCTCCTCCCCCTTCCCCCATATAGCCCATTCCCCACCCCTCCCCTTAGATACATTTCTCAAAGCCATCTCTTTACCATTCATTTCAAATCATTCCCTTGAAATGTACAAATACACAGTTGATCTGAAGGCTTACTGAGGCTTGTTTCTTAAAGTGTCCGATGAGAATTTGGCCACAAGTGTTAGACTTCTGTTTATAGTTCATAACTAGAATTGAAACCTCTTGACTCCCTTCATTCATTTCACTTGACCCCCCCCACCCTCCTCTCCTCTGGCAACCACCCTTCTGGTTCTGTGTATCCATGAGTTTTGTTTGATTTTGTTCATTCGTTTTATTTTTTAGGTTCCACATAAAAGTAATATATGGATTTCTCTTTCTCTTTCTGACTTATTTCACATGGCCTAACACCCTCAAGCTTCATCCATGTTGTTGCAAATAGTAAGATTTCATTCTCTCTGTGGCTGAGGAGGATTCCTAAATACCTCCGTATCTATCCATAGATCTATAGTATGTATGTGCATATTCTTAATATTCCTTATATATATATTCCTATATATATAAAACACAGTATTCATTTATATATATATAATGTATATGTATATATGTATTATAGATGTATATATGTGTATACACACACACACACACACACACACACACACACACACACCCTTTACATAATCCCTATGCACTCATCCATTGATGAATACTCCGTTTGTTTCATATCTTGGTTATTATAAATAATGCTGCAGTAAAAATAGGGGTACATACGTCTTTTTGAAATTAGTGTTGTTTTTTTTATTAGTTGCTCTGCCTAGAGCATGAAGAATTTATTTCCATTTTTTTCTTGCCCCCCCGCCTTGACATTAAGCACTGTGCTCTCTCCCCCACCCCCTTCTCTATGGATAATAGAAGCACTTCAGAAACACTTTGTCATGTAATAATGGTATCATATCATTTCTCAGAAGTTGAATTCCTATAAGCCCTGTCCTGCTCTGTTTCCCCACGTGGAAAGTGCTTGGTACAGAGCTGGGCACATCAAGTATGTATGATCTGTTAAAAGTTACCTATGGCAATTGAGTAAGCTGCTCTCTTTTTTCCTTATACTGGACATAGTCTTTCAGAATTACAGATGCCTTAGACTTGGAAAGAACCCCTGGATAGGGCTTACCTGGTCTTCACTTCCCTCCCAACATGAAGAGCCTTCTCTTCTTTCCTTCACCAGTAGCCCTCCATCTTCTGTTTGAAGATCGCACCAAAGACTGCTTCTTACCAACACCTGTACCACTGGACTTGGATCAGTTGCCAAGAGCATTGAAATACTAGGGGGTGGCTTTTGCTTTTTTGGGTCTTTCTACTCCTGGATAAGCTTCTCCAGTGCCCTGATGTCATACGGTTTCTGGATGCTTTCTGGTTCTGGACTGCATTACATGCATTCCAATTTGTCAGAATCTTCCAGAATGGAGTAGAATACTCTACATGTAATCTGACTTGTACTCACTAGTGTGATTTATTTCTCTCTGACCATAAACATTGCTTCTGCTACTCTAGCCTGAGAGTTCATTAATTTAGTTTAAAAACCCCATCCTATCATTGGCTCCAGGAGCAGATGTTAAAATATCTGGCTCTTTTTCAAATGACTCATTGTCATGTCACGTCCTCTCCATTCTGTATTGGTGTGGATCTTTTTTTTTTCCCTCTTAAGTAATCTCTGCACTCAAGCTAAAGCTTGAACTCATGACCCCGAGATCAAGAGTCACATGCTCTACCAACCGAGCAAGCCAGGTGCCCCTGTAGATCTTTTGTTAATCTATATTCAAGTCTTTGCTTCTTCCTGTCAAATTTAACAATACTGATTTTAGCCTACAGTGACACAGTCTAGATTCTTTGACACTCTTTAATCTGTTACTTGTCCAGTTTTGCCTCATCTGGAAACTTAACAAGTATATGCTTTGAGGTTTTGTTTCAGTTCACGTAATTTTTTAAAACATTCATAGAACCTTTTCATACCACTGGGTGTGGTGCATAAACAATGAATCTTGGAACACCGAAAAAAATAAACAAATAAATAAATGAATAAAAGATTCCTAGAATTTTAAAGCTGAAGGGGATGGTAGATTAGACTGACAACAGGCTTTGTTATGTCCTCACAAGGCATCTGAGAGTAGGAAGTGATACTGGAGTCACTTGGCCATGGTAACTTTCGTTAGCCGCAGATCCAGGATGCAAATTCAGGTTATTGGACATCAAAATCTAGACACCTGGCTACTCCTCTGCCATCTCCAGTCTCCTGAGTCCATTTCTTTTCAGTGCATCTCGGGTATGTCCCTCACTTTGTCTGCTAACCCCACAGCCTGCCTGAGCCACAACATACACACTTAAACACACACATACACACACATTCGTAGTTGGAAATAGGATTTTTTCTTTTTTTCCCCTGTATCTTCTCCTTTTTGTTTCAAGTAACAGACATGTAAAAAAATTGTACCAAACCAAAAAAGAGTGCAAAGCATAAGGCTACACTGGTAAAACTGTTTCTCAGTCAATTCCTCCTAATCCCACTTGGTCACACCACTTCCATTTTTGGTAAGTGCTTACAAAGTGTGTATTTAATAATCATTTATTTAATTCGACAGATTGGTAGGGTTGGCAGTCTGAGGTATTAAAAACTTCCCCTCCATTCTTTAAAAACTGAAACTGTAGCTGCTCATCTTAAGTCTTTTAATCTTGCATTCTCCCTCTGCTGATTTGAAAGCAGCTGCATGCATTTCCTGTTGTTGTCATTGTTTTGGGTTTCTTTTCTTTTCTGGGTACCTTTAAATTTTGAAGATACTATTTTAACCATAGGTCACTTGAGTGACTGAGTGACACAGTCTGTAGAGTATCCGACTCAATCTCAGGGATGTGAGTTCAAGCCCCACACTGGGTGTGGAGCCAACTTTTAAAAAGTGTATTACTTAACTGTATATTTTCTTAGCAGTGTTGATAGTTGTTTAGTAATTTGAATGTCCCACCATGATGATGACTTAGAATGCTTTTCCTGTCACCTCTACCAGCAATCCTGTCACTGAGTTTAAAGTTTTTATTTCCACCCCACCCCTACCTTTCTTTTAAGTAGGCTCCTTGCCCAGCCCAGAGCCCACAGGGCTCCAACTCTGAGATCAAGATCTGAGCTGAGATCAGGGGGAGTGTCAGCACCAGATGCTTGAACCATCTGAGCCCCCCTGGGCGCCCCTCTGGTTTTCTTAAGCAGGCAGTAATTCTTTTTTCTTATCAGTAGATAGCAAATCATACCTAAGGGCTTATTTTATCATTTTTTGTGTCCAGTATCATTTTTGGGGGGTCAGACCTTTTATGGTGCTCCCCCTATTTTTTCTTGCAGAAGGGCCTCCTTTTGTGGTTCTAAGAGCCTCAGGTAGTAAGCCTGTTCATTTTAGGTTTGTTGTTATTTTGCCCTCTCTCTGGAGTGGGTATAAAATCTTGGGTGATACCGTGTGTTCTTCTACATCCCTTCTGGCCATTTTTGATGCTAATGAGACCTCTGATCTAAATTTGGTTTCTCTTACAGATAACCTGGCTTATCTTCTGGGGATGGGGGTATGGTTAACATGTTCTTATCGCTGGTGTTCTACACTTTTTACTATGATGTGCCTGGGTTTAGGTTTGATTTTACTTATCCTATTCGATATATTAGATAGAAGTCTGTTTTCAGTTCTAGAAAATCATCAGCAGTTATCTCTTTGGGCACTGTTACTCTACTGTTACCTCCGGCCTCTTGTGCAGTTGCTATTTTATGGATTTTTGAAACCTTTCAGTGCATCCTCCCTGACTCTGAACTATTCTTTTATATATTTTCCATCCCCTTGCTTCTCTGTGCTGCAT